AGGATTATAAACCCATCCATTTTTTAAAGATTTATTTTTATTTTTAATTATTCATATTTATATGTCTGTGTAGGGGTATGTGCCTGTGAGTACAGGTGCCTATGGAGACCAGAAGAGGGCATCAGATCCAATGGAGCTAGAGTTGCAGGCAGTTCTGAGCCGCCTGACTTGGGTACTAGGAACCACACTCGGGTGCTTTCCAAGAGCAGTACATGCTCTTAATCACTGAGCCATCTCTTCAACCATACACCCAGTTTTTCTTTTTTCTCATGTGGTTTCTGGGGATGTGACCCAGGTCCTCAGGGCAAGGCAGGCACTTCATTAAATCATCTCCCCAGTGTGAATGTTCAACCTTTTGATAGTGCGATATGATGTCATCTACAAATACATTGGTCATTTTTATAGATAACTATCCTAGGACACGTGGCTTGCAGGCCATAGCGCAGACAGACCTGTGAGTGTCACCTGTCTCCATTGTAACAGCATGGCAGGAAGCTGTGGACTGCTGCTCTGCTCAGTGTTATCAGAGAGCATCACATATCTCACTAATCTAGGAAATGATCCAAATTCAAACTCAAAGTACAGTATTGACTAAACACACAATTTTCATACTATCACCATGCCAAAACCTCATTACACTGAACCATCCTAAACGAAGGAATCTCTGTATTACCCATGAATACCTAAACACACAGTTAAGAATAGCAGCGATGACTTAGAACTTAGGCCTGTAAGAGATTATTTTTTCCAGAAGTGTAAGCTATCCCTGGCTCTGTTCCAAATTGCTCTCCATCCCTGCATACCAACCCCTCCCCTGATCTCCCCTTGTCTCATTCTGAATCTCTGAATTCAGAGCAAACACAGGTTTTTGCTTTGTGTTCATTCATTTACTACCCTAGGAAGAGAAAATCCATGCTTCTAAAGACAAAGCTTTTATCAAGTCACTGTAGCTCTGCCACCTCTCACCAGGAACCCCTTCCCAACTGCCCCATGCACTAGTGCAGTCACAGGTCCCCTCAATTTGAGTGCTACTTACTTTATAAAGACCCAGCATTACTCTTAACTCATGAATACCTGGATATTTTTAAATCTAAATGTAGTTTATGGCATAAGCCCAGTTCTTTCTCGGAGAGCACGGTCACTCTGGGCTGCTTGCCTGCACGATCACTAGCCAACAATCTTGCAACCTCCATCCTCTTTTTAGCTCTCCACTGTTTCTTACCTCAGTGAATAAAAATGTCACTTCTGGTGTTGGGATGTTAGCTCAGTCAGTTAAGTGCTTGTCCTGTAAGCATGAGGGCCATAGTTTGATCCCCCAGAACCCATATTAAAAAACAAAACAAAACAAAACAAAACCCAACAAGGTGTGGTGGTGTTCACTTATAATCCCAGCTCTAGGGAGGCAGAGGCAGGTGGAGTCCTTGGGCTCCTGGTCTGCTGGTCTAGCCCATTAAGTGAAATATGGGCCAATGAGAGATCTTGTGCTTTAGTTTCTTTCCAGTTCTTGTTCTTGTGATAAAACATTCTAAACAAAAGCAACTTACTAAGGGTGGAAAGGATTTATTTGGCTTAAACTTCCAGATCACAGTCCATCACAGAGGAAAGTTGAGGCAGGAACTCAAATAGGCACTTGAAGCAGGAACCATGGAGTAATACTGTTTGTTCGCACACAGGCTCACGCTTAGCTAGTTTTCTTAACAACTCAGGACCACATAATTAAGGACAGTGCTGCCCTCAGTGGACTGGGCCCTTTTACATCAATTAGCAATCAAGACAATTCCCTACAGACAATGCCGACAAGCCAATCTGATCTTGGCAATCCCTCAAGCCAGACTCTCCTCTCGGATGATTCTAGGTTGTGTCAAGTTGACAATTAAAGCTAAGCAGGACACCCTGTCTCAAAACACAAGGTGGATGGTGCCTGAGGAACAACATCCAAGCCTCCACATGCTATGGCACCTCCACACAAATACTTACCTCCGACACAACAGTGGGCCTAGTGGAGGTGTTCAGGTCACTTAGGACATACCCTCAAAGAGGCTTCAAGGTAAACCACCTTAGGTATACTGTCCTTTCTTCCTCCTCTCCTTTGGAATCATGACCACGAGGTGAGCAGGCCTCCCCCATTAGGTACTGTTACCATAATATACTGCCTCACCATACCCCCAAACCAATGGGGCCAACCAATCATGGGCTAAAACCTTCAAACCTTGCACCCAAACTGTGCACCCAAATAAACTTTCTCTTCATAAGCTGATGTACCATAAGCATGTCTTACAGTGGTAGAATACTAGAACCGTAAGTCAACAGAGACATGATCTTGTAACATGGTGCAAGGAGAGAGTGAGTCACTGTGTCACCTTCACTAGGGTCTGTCCACTTGTGGAGGGGCCACATGCTATATCCACTGACAGCTATTTAAAGGATGATAAGGAATGTAATGTCATCTGTTATATGGCTTTCAAGTTGTAAATGTCAGTGACAGTCATTCTGCTGCTTTGGGAACTCCTCCAACACCAGGCTGACAACAGCCCAAACCGACGGCTCTGGGGGAGGCTGACAGACAGCTGCTCTTTCAGTAGTCATTCTTAGTAGAGCCAAAAGGCCTCCTGCAAAGGCAGCTAGCTATGGCACACTGAAGTGAGAGGTGGCAGAAAGATATAATCCAGGAGTCCTACATGATGCTAACACATCCACCTGCTTCATGAAGGCTAGCAAACCCGCAAGGTGGAGAAAGAAGAGCAGGAGGGAGGTGTGGAGACTGCTTTAAAAAACACAGCACAGGGGCTGGAGAGATGGTTCAGCGGTTAAGAACACTGGTTGTTCTTGCAGAAGATCCAGGTTTGAATCCCAGCACCCACATGGCAGCTAACAACTGTCCGTAACTCCAGTCCCAGGGGATCCAACAACTTCTTCTGACCTCCACGGGCATTGCACAACATGGGTACACTTACCTACATGCAGGCAATACACACATACACATAAAATAAAAATAATAAATAAAATTTAAAAATTAAAGAAAAAAAACAGCACAATAAATGCAGAAAGATACTGTATGTTCTTTTTAGAGACAGGGTCTCATGTAGCCCTGACTGGCCTCGAACTCACTATACAGCTGAAGATGACCCTGGCCTTCTGATCATCTAGTCTCCGTCTCTCTAGTGCTGGAATTACAGGAATGCACCACCAAGCCTAGTTGATGCAGTACTGGGGATGGAACTCAGGCTCTGTGTGTCCTAGGCAGGCACTCTACCAACTAAGCCACATCTCCAGCCCCAAATACTGATTTCTAAGTGTAAGTTACTGTATTGCAGAGCAAGGACAATATACCCAGCACCAGCCTCCTAGAGCCAGTGTGCTGCCCACAGTTGCTGTTCCTGGAAATCTTTAAAGAACATTGAATGGACTAATAGCTAGCACTCAACCAGTTTCAAGGAGAACTTTCCCTAAGGATAGATTGCTCAGCTGTTCAGTTCTTATAATGGATTCACATTCTTATTAAGCAGGGTATGGGCATTTGATATGATTCCTGTATTTTAAACACAAGGAAAAAAAACAAAACAAAACTCCAGGTCCTTAGAGATTCACAAATCCTTTGAGCTTCTAAAGGAGATACTTCCTGTTACTCTGGTTTCTTCTAGAGGGATGGACATTCAAGGTGACAGCTAGAGAAAAATCTCAGATAAAAGTCACATGGTCACATGTTTTTTTACTGCTAACTTTAATGCTTTTATTCACACTAAGTCATTCTTCTGCTTGTGTTTTGCTGGGTATTTTTGCTCCTATGATGTGGTTAGAGTCTGACTGCGTTCAAAGACCCACATACATAAAAGAAATAAAAATTAGAAATGTTTAATATTTTATTGTGTTGGCCCCATAACCTTGACACCCAAATCCCTTCAGCCTGTGAAGTCCGAATGTTCCACTTCAAGTTTACCAAGGTAACCTCAAGGGGAGTTTGAAGCACTACAGGGGATCCAGAGAATGGAAATAAGGAAGTACTTAGCAAATTGTTTTCTCTATAAAATATGCTCTTTATGAGAGACAAGAAAATGGACTCCTTGAGCAATGGTTCCTCATACAGCCAGAGTTCAGAGGCTGTGCAATTTGTGTGTGTGTGTGTGTGTCTACATGTGGCATATGTACTTGGTATGGCATGTGTACTTGGTGGAGGGGGGATTGCATGCACCTATGTGCACACATAGAGGCCAGAGAAGGACATCAGGGGTCCTGTTCTATCCCTCTCTGCCTGACTCCCCTTGAGACAAGGTCTTTCATTGAACCTGGAACCAGCAAACCCCAGCAATCTTCCTGGCTGTCCCCAGAACACCGAGGTTACAGGTATATGACCATACTTGGCTTTTTATGTGTGTGCTGAGGATTTGAACTCAGGTCCTCATGCTTGTGCAGTAAGTGCTTGTCCCCATCGAGCCCTCTCTGGAACTCCCTTATTGGGCACTTTGTAGATGTCATGCTTTCTACTTCAGTGGCTCTACTTATGATCATATCATGATCTTCTGAATGAGGCCTGGGATGGGCTGCTTCAGAAGGGAGCACTGCTTCATGAGAGTAAGCGGCTATGATCAAACTCAATAAATTCATATTTGGCAAAGACTATATGAAATAATAAATAGACTTCTGTTAATTCTATGAAGACAAGATGTTCTTACACAATTAACCTGATAGACCAATTCTATCCTATCCTTTCACCAGATAGCTGAAGACGTCCTCAGAATTACAGATGGCAAGGGGCCACCCATAGCCCTCTGCAACCAGATTCTCTCTATCTTTTATTGTTTTATTTGTGTGTGTGTGTGTGTGTGTGTGTGTGTGTGTGTGATGTGCATGTATACACATTTTTTGAGACAGGATCTCATGTAGCCCAAGCTGACCTCAAACTCTAACATCTGACTCAAATTCTTGTTTCTCTCTCTTTCAAAGTCAAACATCCTGACCTCTGTGCCCAGTCAGGATGAATATCTGCCCATCACAGTACTTACATGGTCTAATGGATCCTCCTCCAATGTCCACTTTCAGATAGGAATCACTCCTGGAAACATAAGGACAAAGACATCTCTAAGTTCTCTGTTGAAAGGCATGTACTGCACAGATGGGCTGACAAAGAGCTTGTCCGACCTCTGCTTCTTACTGTTTAGAACCCAACCGCCTAAGAGGGAGACAATCTTCCCCTCAAAGACACCAAAGCACAGGGGTTGGGAGATGGTTCAGTCAGCAAAGAGCTTGTCTCTCAAGCATGAGGACTGCAGTTCCATCCCCAGAACCCATAGGAAAAAAAAAAAAAAAAAAAAAAAAAAAAAAAAAAGCCGTGTGCCAGATGTGACGGTGTGCATGTGTAATCCCAGTGACAATGAGATGAGAAGTGAGTCAGTCAGGCAGATCCCTGGAGTGCCCCAGCCAGCCAGCCTGGCCTATAGGGTGAACCAGGCCAATGAGAGACTCTCTCTCAAACAAAAGGTGGATGGCACCAGAGGAATGCCACCCAAAGTTGTCCTCTGACATCTATGTGCATGCACACAGAGGAAGAGAGAGAGAGAGAGAGAGAGAGAGAGAGAGAGAGAGAGAAATAGAGAAATCAATTCCTCAGAAGTATGTTAATACATACAGACATAGAGACATACATATATATTATATATATTATCTTGATTATCTTGTTTGTTAGGACCCAACTATATCCATTCAGCTGAAATAAAGTTCCTCTTAGCAAGGAAGAAGTATTTACACATTTCAAGTCTCAGTGGGCACTAAAGCTTTTACCAACCCTAACACTTCCTAACTAGACCACATTAATACATTACTTCACACACAGGGTTCCAAGTATACACACAGATGAGTTCAAAAACAGATAGCTCTATTACAAAGACAGAGGAGTTTGCAAGAGGATATAAGCCAAGCCAATTACAAGCCTGCTCATTCAAATATAACGCATTACTTGTAGCTGCTTCCCCTTGCAACATTAAAAAAAAAAATCCATTTTAGGGACTGGAGAGATCCATCTGTGTTTAAGAGTACTGGCTACTCTTGCAGAGGACCTGGGTTTGAGTCCCAGCACCCACAAGGTGGTTAACAACCATCTGTAAATCTATTTCCAAAGGATCCAACACCCTCTTCTGGCCTCTTCAAGCACTGCACACATATGCTGCACATACATATATACAGGCAAAACACTCATAGACATAAAAAAAAGTCCATTTTAGGGGCAGGAGAGATGGCTCAGTGGTTAAGAGTGCTTACTGCTGGTCTAGAGACCCAAGTTCAGTTCAGATCACCCACTTAGGGTAGCTCACAGCTGCCTATAACTCTAGCTCCAGTACTCCATGCCCTTTTCTGGCCTCCACAGGCACACATGCAATGCACATACCCACACACAAGTACACAAGACATACACATGAGAGAGAGGTCCATTTTAGAAATGCACCTATTAATACTATGTGTTTCTAATTTAGCTAAAGTTTTTCCTTTGTAAAACTAAAAGAGGGATTCAGGGGCTAGAAAATGGCTCAGTAGTTAACAGCACTGGTAACTCTTGCAGAGGACCCAAATTTGGTTCCCAACACAAACACAGTGTCTAACAACTGTCCATAATTCCAACTTCAGAGGATCAGATACCCTCTTCTGATCTCTGTGGGTACTGTACAACATGGGTGCAATTACATACATGCAGGAAAGATATTCATATACATAAAATAAATAAATTAAATAAATAAATAAATAAATAATAAATAAATAAAACTAATTTTTGGTTTGACTCTCAGCACTGCATAAACTGGGCACCGTGGCACATGCTTGTAATCCAAGCATTCGGGAGGCAGAGGCAAGAAGATATGAAGTTCAATGTCATCTTCAACTATATAGTGAATTTGAGACCATGCCCACAAAAGTTACACACACACACACACACACACACACACACACACACACACACACACACTGGTTCTGATATCCATGGGATGTCTCAGCAGAAAATTATAAAACAGCCAAGGCCTTCAAGAGGAGGGAAGAAAGGAGGGAATACGTCACCCCACTACATTCTCCCATTCAAACGGACTGGTTAAGTCTTTTAAAACTAACCAATTAGCCCTTATTCTTAAAGGCTTTATGAAAAATGCAATTTTCTTCTGAACAGGTTTGGTTATTTTTAATCCATATAAAGGCAATTTCCTTTCTCTATGGCCTGTGGCACAGAAGTGCATTCACAGTGTTGACATCTTTGTCTGTGTCAGCAGGCGCTGAGCAACACCAGAGGTGGGGTGGGTACTAGGGTAACTTGGGCAAGCAGGCTGAACCTGCAGACATTCTAAATCCATGGTCTCCAGGAAACAGTGAGGGCTCAGTAAATGTTTACTGATGGATGGAAGACTGCAAGGAGCTGAATCAATACAAGTGACTGTGGTCCCCTTTTTTAGACTAGTTTCTGTCTGAGATGGTTTTGAGTAAGGTAAAGAAATGGATTCTGAAAAAAGACTACATAAAGAAAAAAGAAGCTACTATCTTTAATAAATTCCAGTTACCAAAATGTGGGGGGGGGGACATGTGGATATGGACATGTGTATGTGTGTGCATGTGCGTAGGGAAGAAGTTGACACTGAGTGTTTTTCTTGACTGCTCTCCACTTTGTTATTTTTGATTATGTGTATATGTGCATAGGGGGAAGGAGCATTTGTACACATGGGTGTTGATGCCCATGGAAGCCAGAGATGCTGGCTTCCCCCTCTGGAGCTGGAGTTACAGGCACTTAGGAACCATCCAATGTGGGTTCTTGGAACTAAACCTGTGTAAAAGCAGTATGTACTTTTAACCACTAGACAATCTCTCTAGAATCTCATTTTCGAATCATGAACTTTCACCGAACCTGGAGAGCATCAATTTGCCACAACTGGTAGCCAGTGAGATCCAAGGATCCTCCTATCTCCACCTCCCAGAGTGCTGAGGTTAGACGGGCACTACTACATCTGGCTTTTTACATGAGTGATAGGGATCTGAACTTAGGACCTCATATTTAAGCAGCAAGCACTTTACTATCTGAGCCATCCTCTCAGCCCCTCAAGGTTTCAAATTTTCTAGAAAAGAATATTCAACATTTTGTTCCTCATCAAAAATACCTCACTCATGAGAAATGTGTAGGCCAATGAAATCAACAGGCTAAATAAAATCAATTTATTTCCCATGTGGTTATTCTTTTATGTTTTCATAAGCATCTCATTTAGTCTATTACATGACAATTTTCCTTGTGAGTCCCCATGGGTAGTGTGATGGTTTGAATGTGAAATGTCTCCCACAGGTTTATGAATTTGAATGTGTGATCCCCAGTAGATATCCCTGTTTTGGAAGGTTATGGAACCTTTAGGAGGTGGAACCTTGCAGAGGAAGTAAGTCACTGACAGCAGGATTTAAGGGTAGCATAACACAACTCCCTGTTTTCTCTCTGTTTCCTGTGTGTGGATGAAAGGTGGCATCTCTGTTTCCCGACTGCCAAGCCTGTCTCATGCTCCTGCTGGCATGCCTTCCCCACCATGATTAATTGGATTCCTCTGGAATGGCCAGCTAAAATAAACCCTTTTCTCTTCTAAGTTGCTTTTGGTCATGGTTTAGTTTTTTGTTTTGTTTTTGTTTTTTGGTCTTTTAAAAAAATATTTTATTCATTTTTATTTTATGTGTATGCGTGTATTGCCTGCATGTAGGTAAGTGCACCCATGTCGTGCAATGCCTGTGGAGGGGAACGATCATGATTGCAAGAGGTGTAAAGAAAGCAGCCAGTGAGCCGAAGAGCATGAAGCTGCCAAAACGTTCTTTTTTCAGTGCACAGGTGATGTTGCTTGGGTTAAGCACATCAGACTCTATCCCTTTAATAGGGACAGGAATGGCAATGCCTAAGAAAGGTGAAACAAGATAAATTGAGTCATTTTTATGACCTATTAGTCTCAGATTAGTTTCTCTGGGATTTTATCATGGTAACTTTGTGATAATGAAGCGTATTGTAATTCCTGGGACCCACGGCATTTATCAGTGTACCCTTTGACACATAGAACCTGTGAACCAATCTTTTTTTGTTTGGTTGTTTCTTTTCTTTTTTTAAAGACAGGGATAGGGTCTCCCTGTAGCTCCAGCTGGCCTGGCACTCACTATGTAGACCAGGCTGGCCTTGATCTCACAGAGATCTGCCTACCTCTGCCTCCCTAGTACTGGGACTAAAGGTGTGTGCCACCACACCCAGCTGGTCATGCTATTTCAGCACAGCAACAGTAAAGTAACTAATACAAGTAGTAAATGATGTATGAATCACATCAATGAAAGACTATTCATTGAAAAACTGTGAGTGATGCAACAGATTTTTTTTAATTATATTTTTTAACTATGTGTATGTGTGTATCTATATGTACATATGCCATATGTGTGCAGGAGCCTAGAGAGGTAAGAAGGGGGCATCATATGCCCTGGAACTGGAGTTACAGGCAGCTGTGAACCACCCAAAATGGAGCCTGGAAACTGAACTGGGGTCTTCTACAAGAGCAGTGAGTACTCTTAACTGCTGAGTCATCTCTCCAGGCCAAATTTTTTAAATGTTATCCTTCACTTTCCCAAGGACTTTCAAGTCTCAATTCTTTTTCTCGAGCTCCAGCCACATGGTTAAGAACTACCTTACACACCCAACAATCAACTTCCCAAGTAACAGAAAGAATACTGCATCACCCTTGATCCTGGACATTTGCAAAATTCATGGCCAGTGAGAAACCAAAAGGTTGTTTACTTTTACCGTTGGCAACACTTTCATGTTCAAGTAATCTTAAATCTCATTTCCTGCAGGGCCAAGTGTATAACATTAATGAAACTTTACAGCCATTCCTAGCTCTCTTTGTAAAGAAAATGTTGGAGGAAGGAGGAAGTCCATTCTCCTTTCCTAAGTTTCAAAATAGTATACTACTGTAGTGTCCATCAAAAGTACACCCAAAATATCATTTCTAGGGGTCAAAAGGCTCTCTCAGTTTTGTGTATGTGTGTGTGTGTGTGTGTGCTTATGCATTGATTCACACA